GGAAGAGCAAATGCCTACCGTATATATGAAGCATTAAATTGGAAAAAGACAATCTACCTCGGATGCTCAAGTTCCCCCTGGGTGCCGCGTTGTTTATTGCGAGTGATTTCACCCGTTGGCATCGGAATAATAAGCAAACCCTGGACTAGGCGCCCTGAGACAAAATATTCTCACCCAAGTAAGCACTCCGCCGGGTCCGAGCCCAGTACCCATTCCACAACATCTCTACCACCACCCAAGGCAACCTACCTCCCAAGACTCGGTTACAGCGGATCCTGCCCATCCGCGAAGCGCAACACCCCGAAGCTCCAACATGAGCCCTGCACCTTACCAGCAACTCCAGGAAGCTTAGGAAAGTAGTGTCCTGCGATGAGATTGACCCCTCCCTCCCCTCGCACGTCACCAATTTTGGTCCGCGGGTAGGGAAATCCCAACCACGCCCGCCCTGCCATCCGAATTCAGTTCACGACCACTTCCTCCCCGCAGGTCAGGCAAACGGACCAAGCGGATAAAAGATAACCTAGACCTATACCCCATGGACGGATAAAAAAAAATACCCGCCCAGAGCCATACACTACCGTAACTAACTGTAGGTATAGTCTGAGCGGGTATCATAGGTACAAGACTATGCGCGAATAATTCGAAGTTTCGAACACCCAGTAAGCTCACTTTCCCTCCCAACATGAAAGCCTCAACAAAGAGACAATATCGAAATTTTGATTAATATTCCATACCCTGTTCGATTCTAATCTATCCAGAGAGGGGGAGAGAAGGAAGAGGAAAGAATGGGCTATGAGGCCCAGCACCGATTAAAAGAACACTCCGCCTTTGCAATGGTTTAAGTGCGAATTTGTGGCGGCGATCTGCACTAAATTATCATTTGTCCGGTTACTACATTTATATCGCCTCGGTAATAGCTGATATTATATGTACAGGACATCATGTCCGGTCTTACCGTGTCCACGGTGTAAGCGGTTGAGATCCCAAGATACCGTCTTCCCATTGCGACGTCGAACACGGAAAGAGCTAGGGTAGTAGTAAAAGAGACGGGCTCGGGTGCGTTCATTAAGAACTCATAGTCAAAAGTGCTAGATGAAAAGGGGGAAAAAGTGTCTATGACCTTAATAAGGTTTCTCTCAACGATGGCAGAGTGAAGAAGGGGGTTCCCCAGGTTTTGCAAGCATACTAGCTTCCGTAGATCGAGTTCTATTGCTCCCACCTAAACAATCTAAAGTTTCACTCCACTTCTCTGCCACCTCTTGCTCTTACGGGATGGTTGCTCTCCCACACCATACATCTCTCTTCTCCGACTACGCTCACCTATCCCCATGCCTACCGGGAATTGCCAAACTATGCGCCTGAGCCATGTGCTTAGAATCCGACATGATACCAGAAGGTCAAATCTTCATATTCTATCACTCGCTTAAACCCCCCCCCCAAAAAAAAAATGAAAACGAAAGGAAGGAGGAAAATCCCAAGCCAGTGAAATGCATAAACGATGCCAGTATGAGACTGGCACACTGGCTCTGACGTCCTTGCGCATGCAGGGACAGTCTGAAGAGGGACCCGCTAGTCATCTCCGACTGTGGAGCATTAAAAACATGCCAAGACAATAGGGAAAATGCGCCTGGATTGGACCTTTTTCCCTTTTCCCTTTTCCCTTTAAGCGAGAATGGGTAGTACGCCGTGCGCTATACGATTATCAGCTACTAGAAAACTACATTAACCAGTGCGAATGCACCTGGGAATGGGTAGGCGATGAAATGTCCACCCATATTCGCGGAATGTTTTAATCAGGGGCTAGATAAGGTCGGCTGCAGCACACCCTCCCGTATCATGCATCATTGGCATCTTGGTCCGCCAACGTCTCTCGATTCCCCTTGTCTTCCATTATGTGACAAATCTAAATATGGGAGTTGCTAACACCCCAGCGATATCTCTTTACACTATAGTAGATAGAGGTAGGGGAGGCTGGTTCGAAAGCACTTAGCATCGGGGAGGCTATTCCTACTATCCTCTCTTTCGTATTTTTCCGCCGAGATTAGCCGTGGCCAGAGGCGGGTATGAGATATTCGAATTCCGCTGCAAATGGTGCAAGAAAATAAAGTGATATTATTGAAGAAACGAAGCCCGATCCGACGAAAAGCCAGAAACCCCACGAGAGGAATAATATCAAGCTATGACTCTAAGAACCCTAACAGAAGAGTTGTACTCCACACTACTGGACACTAGGAGTGGAGAAGACAAGGGAAGATTCAGTATATACATAATAAAGAAAATTATATGGTACTTTGTGTGACAGGCCCATGCCGGGGGTGATTTTGGAAGTACGGGACTCGGAAAAACTGAAGGTAAGGAGGTGAAGGGGGAGGGATCCCACAAGACGGTAACAGACACCACGGGGGGCCGTGAAGAGTGCCTGAGAAATGAGTGGACCCGCGTTGATAAAAGGGTATTAGTGTGGAGACCCTTTGCTAAAAGGGTGGACGTAGGTGTGTGTAGGGGAGAGTATAGGTAGGTCACTCTGCAGCCTGATCGGGGATAGAGATTGCGCTCCCACGATGCTGGAGGAGTGCTACAATATTCGTATGCCCACGTTCGGAAGCGATTTGGAGTGGGGTTTTACCAGACCTGTCTGGTTTGTCCGGATCGATATCATGGCGTGTGAGTAATAGTCTTACTATCCCCTCATTCCCTTCACAAGAAGCCCACCATAATGGTGGATAGCCACCGCTGCTTGGCTTGTTGGGATCAACGTCGTGGCGTGTGAGTATTAGTCTTACTACCCCCTCATCCCTACGACGACAAGCCCACCAGAGTGGTGGAATGCCATTTCTGTCTGGCTTGTTGGGATCGACATCGCCCCGTGCCAGGAGTAGTCTTACCATCCCCTCATGCCCACCCGAAGAAGCCCACCCGAATGGTGTTTTTCCGGAGTCGTCTAACACGTCAGGGTTGACACTAGCCTGCGAGAGCAGGAGCCTCACCACCGCCTCATGCCCATTAATAGAAGCCCAACAGAGGGGTG